GTTGTCGATTTATTTCTGAACCCCTGGACCTACAGGGCATTTACCCCCTGAAATTTTGAATGACATTACAATCCCTAGTTCTTTTGCTTTCTTCATGTAATTCTGGGTGGATTCCGTACTTTTCTTCCGAGAATTGAAGTAGGTACTTATCACTATTTTTGGATGTATGATATATTGATATATTTACTTTTTCTTCAGCTGTAAAAGATGACAGCGACATTTTTTATTGCTTCAGCTTGTAGCCATCTGATTTCCTTTCAAGTAATGTTCATCTATTTTAAACAGAGCTGGTATAAATTTTACATTTTATGGGAGATGAGATTTTGTGAAATAATAACATAATGGAGTCATGGTGATATCAGAAACGGAAATAAAATTGATGACCCACAAGGTACATCATTGATACATCGAACACAGCAATACAAGAGCATCGATTTTGTGTTATATATATAGCCGTATAGACAAAATCGATGGTAACGCCCTAATCCATTCCAACAGTCTGTTGCCGATATCAATCTCAGTTCATTTTTCCAAAAAAAGTTGAATCACCCTGTATATCATTAATGAAAGCAATATGATCTGCCTGCGTTCGAAGTGTGGAATACTCGCCAAATATATAGGGTGATCCATTCCATGTAGTGATTACGCAGTTATAAACCTTTATCGACTCGTTACCTATACCCTATTTTTTGTATACGTCACCGTAGTCATATATTTCCATCGTTTTGGTTGATTCAATCGTCTACAGCTATATTATGGCCATTTTTCCATTAGACCAACCGAATGGGAATGCGATTTCGATTGATCCCACACATTTATCACAGTTCAGCCGAGTAGCGGTTTCTGTTCGTTCGATCCAAACAAATGCTGTCAGTTGCAAAATGGATCATGATAAATTGGAGAAACGTCGAGTATCGTAATGCAATATCAACCTCCAACAGAGAAATGCGGCACTATAAGAAAGGTCTCGGCTCGTGGTTTCTGTCAACGATTATAGTGAAGGAAAAACCATGGAAATCATTTATTTCTCGAAGTGGTTCAAAGTATTTTCATACAGATACTAATATTTTTCCTGCATCCGACACAAAAGTCGTCCATTTTGATACCAAAATTAGCTCTTAAATTGACGTTTCTATTACTGACACAAAAATAGGTATGCTAGGCAACATATTTAGTTCCTAGGAGCTAAAGTTGAATTTTAGTTCCCAGGAGCTAAAGTTGAACTTTAGCTCCGAGGAACTAAAAAGGATGTACTGGACGTCATCAAGAATAAACAACATTGTGACGGTTGGTTATTTGGGTTGAGACGCATACCTGATTTGTTTCCGATTTCAGCAGATTTGGCATTTCATACCCATGCTGGAGATATAAATACACCTTATTATAGTTTAGTATTGTAATTATAAACATCTCAGTCAAGTATTTTTGTTTTGATCAGGCAAGCCTTCAAGATTCAAATACTTGCTTGATCTGTATTTCATTCGTTATTCTCGGGATGGATAACTTGCGTTTGAATAATCACGGCAAGCAAGCGTTTTTTTGTCTCAAACAACAATGTTGTTTAGCTTCATTTGATTATCAAGTCAAACACAGTGTAGTATGGAGAGGAATAAATAATCACTATTATCATTGTTGATATGCTCACTAACATAACATTTTCCACGTCTTGTTCCTAGCTGACACTGGCGCGGTATTTGCCATTAGAGCACCTGGTCTATACACAAATATGTCACTCTGTGGTTGTATTTATATTGAAACTACAATTCGAACATCCTAGACTTAACCTGCTGTTAATGCAGGTAGAATATTCTCACCACATGGATTATTTGTCAATATTTGTTGCATTGCATACATATGGCACGGCATTGGTGGTTACTTCACATGTTTATTTGAGTTGATTGTTTCGGTTGCAGAAAGAATAGCATGTTTCATTCGGATCAAACGTGACTTTGTTCGACTCGCAAATTTTGCTTTCGCTCGGCTTCGCTGAACGCTCCGCCTCGCAAATGCAAAATTCGCCTGTCATACAAAGTGTCACTTTTGATCCTAATAAAACAATCTACTATTATACCCAGTCGACCGCACTTCATATGCATTGAATAATAAAAGAAAAACTACCGGTTTCGGCATCACAGCCATAATCAGACTCACATGTTATAGAGTCGAAACTTCACAAACGGTTCGTTATTCGGTTTTGAATGGAAGAAAAACATATTTTGTGTGGTTAACTTGGAGGAAAAATGGCTAATATAATTTTGGTGTGATATATTGGTTATTCACAGCAATTTTTTCGATGAAATTAATCTCTCTCTCTCTGAAAAGAAAATTAATAAATGACGCGATACTTATGAGAGCAGGGGTGATGAAGGTTCAATATAGAATATTGTATTTCCTCTTTCGCTATTAGTCACACATCATGAAATCTTCCGGCTGATTTAACACCCAGAGTTGAATTCTCCTCCCAAACTCGTGAGTAAACAATATAGAAAATTAATAAGCTCTATATATTCTGGGCTAATTTGCATCGGAACGAAGGTCTATAAGACAACAGAAATGGCCCATTATTCAAAACTTCGCCAGTATAATACCGTATAATACCAACGCTTACGCAAGAAATATAAACCATATCCCGCATTATGAATCTATTTCGTTTCAATCGAGAGCCTTCTAAATGATGAATAAGTATGAATAGAATGAACGACTCTATGATAATTGTATAGAATTGGGAATGCATTCATCATCCTCAAGAAGCATAAGTTTATCCCATGACTGAATCTGTGCATGACTGGGATATCTTTTGGAAGAAACAATTGTCTGTAAGATTCAGCACTGTTTTGGTCCGTCAGACCTCATCGGTTTTCGAGTTATTTCAGATTATGAAACTTATCATTTTGTATATAGGAGAAGAGATATCGGTATAGGTGGAACACTGCGGGATTCCAAACTAATGATTTTGATCTGTAATAGTTAATAATCTCTAATCATTTATTGATTCATCAAACCGTCAATACAAAGTACATCGAGGCTAGTTGCAAACAAGTGTATATTGTGATAAGTTGTATGGTTATGTTTGATCTGTTCATTCATTGTTTGTCCAGCAGTCAGCGATGTATAGAGAGACCTGGAGTGGATATACGAATTGTTTTCTGAAATGAATTATGCCAAATATGAGGTGATGATTTGGTACCCAGAGATTTTTCGAGGTGAAGAATCAAAAATTAGAATTAATATTCATGTGACGCCTATAAGGAAGATTTTATTGGGTCTCAACACCAACAAAGCTCGTGGGCTCCAACGGAATCCCACCGATTATTCTCAAGAAATGTGCTCCCGAACTAACACCTGTTCTCTGCAAGTTGTTCAACTACTTTTACAAATTGGGAATATTCCCGTCCAACTGGAAAATTGCAAGAGTATAACCAGCTCCTAAAAAGGCAAATAGACGCTACCTAGCAACTACAGACAGTTCGCACTGCTATCTATTATTTCAATAATCATGGAGAAAGCTATCAACATCGAGCTCATGAAATACCTGGAACATTCAGGTATATTATCAACGATAAGCAATATGGCTTCCGTCATCAGAGATCAACTGGTGACCTGCTCGCTTACGTCTCACATATATGGCAGCAATCTATTGAAATATATGGTGAAACCTGAGCCGTGGCACTTGATATCCCCAGGGAATTCGATCGAGTCTGGCACCACGGACTCCTCGCCAAGCTTCCATCTTATGGCTTGCCTCCCCAGCTATGTTCTCTGCTAGCTAGTTTTCTCTCAAACAGGTCTCTCCATGTAGTGGTCGACGGAGTTTCATCTGACTCTCTTATCATAAATGCTGGTGTTCCGCAAGGATCAATTCTAGCACCAGCACTATTTCTACTCCATATCAACGATTTGTTGGAAGCAACTTCATGTTCAGTACACAGCTTCGCAAATGATAGTACCCTCCATACCGTCTTCTCTTCCAGGGCTCCTGTACCATCCAGGCAAATCAGAAACGAAAGAGAAAGAAATGTTGATAACATAAATATGGACTTGGCAACAATTCTCGAATGGGGATCCAATAACTTAGTAGACTTCAATGCAATCAAAACACAAGCATGCCCTTTCTCTAGAAAAGCCGATGTCACTGTGCCCAATAAAAGCTTGTCAGGAGTAACCATACCTTTGAAGACATCCATTTCGATGCTTGGTATAACAATCAGTAATAACTTTTCTTGGGAAGATCACGTGAGATCAATTGCTAAAAGTGCTTCCCATAAACTTGGTTTTCTGTTTCGGGCCAGGAGCTATTTCACTTCCCGTCAGCTGCTTATGATCTTTAAGGCACAGATCCGACATGTCTTGGAATACTGTTCCCATATTTGGAGTGCAGCACCCAAACATACCCTGAAACTGTTGGATTCTGTCCAAAAAAAGGCAATTCGTCTTGTAGGTGATGCCTCGCTCACAAACTCAATCATTTCTCTGGAACACCGTAGAAAAGTTGGCGATCCGGCTCTATTTTATAGATATTTCTATGGAAGATGCTCTTCCGAAATATCAACAATTGTTCCTCCCTTGGCAGTCCCAGTGAGATTAACCCGTCGAGTTGAGACTTCGCACCACTTCGTGGTCACTTTGGAGACCTGCAGAACATCTTTTTCCAAAGACTCGTTCATCTAACGAACAGCGAGGCTCTGGAACACATTGCCAAGGGAGGTGTTCTATGAGGCTGAAATTTTCACTTATAACGAGAGCTTTTTTTGTTGAAGTAAACTTGACATATATCAATATGAATTTTGTTGCCTGGCAAAATTTTTTTTAAGCTAGTATAATTTGGTAAGACGATTTAATTTATCGAACATTTGTTTATGGCTGGTTGTCATGCATTAAAAAGTTAGGTTCCGTTATTGTTGCTGGAAAAGTTAGGGCAAACTTTTTTCGCTGTCATAATGACAAAATCACGCGGTTTGTGAGATTTTTCATACATGAATCAAATTGTCACTGAAACTCACCATCGTATTAGTGCTGCCCGAACTGGCTCTCGCAGGGTTGCCAGGCGACGCACCCTGACTGGAGATCTTCGTCTCAGTGCCATTTTTCACGCTGATCTCCAGATAGCAGTGCGCTTCAAGGTGCGTCTGCGCTCTGCGCTCTTCGTTCACTATCCTCCGGGCCGCCCGGAAGATCTTGTAGTACACCAGCATCATCACCGTCAGCGGTATGTAGAAGCTGCACATGGTGGCATACACCTGGTACGCGAAGTCCTGAGACACCAGGCACACCTCGTAGGTCTTGTCCCCGTTTTCGGCGATCTCTGAGTGCTCGTTGCCTATCAAGACAATCAATCAGTTAACTCTCAGACAGCACAAGATATTCTTTGAATGGTGTCTTACTACGTTCACAAAATACTTCCTTCAGAATACTCCCGGGAATATTCATATTCATATTCACGTGAATTTTCAGGGAACATAACGTGTCCTAAAAATGGATAGTTGGTATGCTTACCAAGGAGATCTAAATTCAGACCAAATGCCTTATTCAACGCATGTTTACACCATGTATCTCCAGTTGACTAACGTTACCAACTTTGTTTTGATTTGATTATTTTTTTGAGGTTAGGTTGTGGAACTCCACTCGAATTCGTAAATTAAGAATGAAACCTTTTAGCAGAATACGAAATTAGCTGAAATTGTATGAAATATCATTATGAGAACTCATGAAATAACTGCCACTTGCATTCAAGTCAATTCAAGGCTATACAAAAGTAGACCAAAATGTTTACACCGTCTTGGTCATCATACTATTTTAGTCTGGTACGCAACAAATTTTGGTACCAAACCAAGCTGGTAAGTTTACCAAGTATGCGGTTTATACCAAACTGACCAAGAGTATTTAGTCAAAATATAGTCATTAATCAGTCAGCTTACAAAGACACGGTATAAACGTGGCCAGTATCTCAGCTAGCAGGTCAGGTGTTTTGTTTACACTGCTTTGAATTCTTTGATTCATAATGCCTATATGATTCATTCTGTGATAGGAACCACGAGTATCATGATTAATTTATTGTGTCCAGTATTATTTTGCGAACCACTTATCCCTGATTGATGATATAATTATAGTGTCTCATGAACTTCCAAGCTGAGGTCACTGATTTCTCCTGGTGACCCGATTCACTTTTTAGTGCTATTGATATCACTGTTTATCGAGCTGTTTATCATTAGGAGATAATGGCTGCCTACTGTTTTATCTGTAGCAAAAATAGAAGGGCCGATTTTCGAAAGATGAGCCAAGGTAAGAAAAAGTGTATCCACAGACATCTATGATCTGTTTGTATCCATTAACATGATTTATTCATTATTACAGTGTGGCATATAAATCGGATTTCCAATGTTTCCACGAGTGGTGAGGGCATAGATACTAGATAGGCTATTTATTTTTTCGAAGCAGGACCTTTTGACATAAAATTCAGGAACGTCACACCATTCCCCAGTAATGACGAGCAAGTCGTCATTCGCTTGTCAGTTATTGGCTCGACCAAACCCGAACGCGCAATAAATTTGTGCGTGGTGGTATGCGCACTGGTCTGGAAAAAAATAAAACTTGTGGACACCAACATCAAACGTTCCGATACTAAGTGAAATCACTGAAGACCACAGGGGAAAGAGGGGGAATGTCACAATATAGTGGAAATTGACTTGACCACTATATTTTAGTATAAACAGAAGTCCATAGCAATAACGCAGCATAGTCAGCTAATATGCTAGCTCAAAAATACTTTCACATGAAAAAAATGCGTAATGTCCACTTCAAAAATGTGAAGAAAGGGGAACGTCCAAGCTTAGTGCTGCTTGAATTCAGATTTCATTGTGATAATGATAGGTTGTTTTCACACTGTCAAAAGGTCGAAGTGAACTCTCAGGCAAACAAAAAATGAGAAAAAAAAAGAGATAAGGCATCTTTTCTCCATCTCTTGGAGCGTACGAAAGGGAATACCAATATTGTTCGGGGAACATCATGGGTACCTAGGGAGGACAGGGAGGAACTTTTGGAGATTATAATTTCTTGGGAAAACTCCCGTTCTATGTATGAACGAGTTTTGGTAAAGAATTGTTCGACATATTTCGAGGTTGACGACAAAAAGGTGTGCTGACTGGGCTTGTCGAGTACGTCTGAGTAATGGGAATCGAATAATGAGATTGCTACCTGATGATTTCTACTCATATCTCGTGGAATTTATAGAAAATGATAAAATTATAGAGATGCTGGACGTATTATATGACTTACCGCTCAGTAGGTAGTCAGGCAAGGATTGAGAAATGTACCAGAGCAGATATTTGCGAGTGAACAATCCAGTTTCTCGATCAAATGAATCCAGGTGGTTGGATTTCAGTTTCCTCTAACTAACTAACTAAATGTAAGGAGGTTTTGAACTTTGAAATGCGTTGTTCTCAAAACTTACTTTTCGTGACATTCCCCCTTTTTCTCCTGTGGTCCTCAACTGTTTTCCGTAAGGATGTATTTTGAGTTCATACTGAGATGTCTATAATTCAATTTGACGTTCATACCTAGGATGAGCAGCGGCGGCAGCGAGATGCAGGCCGACAAGCACCACACGAGGACCACCCACAGGATCATGCGCCTCGGCGTTCGCTTCACACCGTACTCCAACGGCTTGGTGATGGCGTAGTACCGGTCCACGCTGATCATGCACAGGTTGAGGATGCTGGCCGTGCAGCTGAGCACGTCGAAGCTCACCCACAGGTTGCACATGATCTCGCCGAAGATCCATCGGCCGTTGATCTCGTAGAAGGTGGCCATGGGCATGACGAGGATGGCCACGCAGAGGTCGCTGACAGCCAGGCTGACTAGCAGGTAGTTGCAAGGGCGTCTTAGTTTCCTCACCAGGCACACCGCAACGCACACCTGCAGGATAAAGATCACTGACATAACCTTCTATAGTCCAAGTCAAGGTCCAAAGCATTGAAATGACCATTGAATCCACTCAACTACAACCCTACCAATGGAATGCTGATACAGCTACCTGCGCGTGAAGATTTTACGCCTCCCATGGAGATCTTGACCTTGAGGTTCTGCGCCGACGCAGTGAAACCAAGATATGAAAATAATGTCCGTGATTATCGAAATTGCTTACAACCGCAGACGTATGTCGTTGATTAGGTGTGCTTCCATCAGGAGAGACTCAGATATTTTTGTGCCCATCATCTACCACGCCTTTATTATTGTTTGTTTTCATATGGTTTTTATTTTCATTGTTTCATTGTTCCTGATCGTGTCTTTTATTAATTCTCTTTTATGTTTTCTGGTTTCCACGAAAATGGATATCCTGTAATGTTCAGAGAACATCGTGAGAACCAAGGGAAATAAGGTTGGAATTGGTGTCTTCCTTGGCAATGTGTTTCAGAGCCTCGCTGTTCGTTGAACACACTATTATACATGAGAATTCAACATACTTCAATGGGCAAGAAATAGTCGTTCATTGGCAAGATCGACCCTGGTCTCAATATAAGTGCGCATGCTCACAACCTTAAATCCGCCATGTCTGCGCGAGGTTCTTATGAGCGTATTAATGATAGATCTATATTGATATCATGCATCGGCATTCCATTTGTTATACTTCAGTGATTGAATCTCACTTATACCAAAGATGATATACGCTCCAGAAAGACCACGCTTCTGTAAAAATTGACAACGCTCCGATGGGGCGTAACAGACCGATGGAGAGAATGTGAACCCAGAGCACAATCACAGTTGAGTTCTGTGGGGACAATATACAGAGAAGTGCACGAACAACGGCCAGGGCTGTAACTTTTGAATAATTCGAGATATAATTTTGAAAATTGGTCAGGTAGACTCTGACGCGACAGACAAAAATTTCCAGTGTTAATCCAGCCTAATTTATATAAAATAACAGAATGATGGACACAAATTTTTTTCTTTAGTCGGCTCTAGGGGGGACGATCGCCCCTATCGCCCCCCCCCCCTCTGGATCCGCCCTTGGTGGAAGGACATACTGGCCTTCTTCAGAAGATCAGGGAGATTCGTAAAGAAAATCTTGGTGAAGGAAGAGTAGATATGTGGAGAGCCGGGGTTAGCAAAAAGGGTGTATCGGGGCCTTCTTGCTTGGCTACAGCCTCTCCACCTACTACTACTACTATATTAAAGTGAAATACAACTCTGTTGTGGTATTATTCGATGAATGTTGTGACTGGTGCCTATTCTACTCAACGTTTGGTAATCACTACCGACTTTTTCCATAGACTACTGAAAATAAACTATATTTCTGAGTGTAAGTTTTTCAATATATTGACATAATTTTCCAACTGAAACAGGCCCATTCCAGAAAATTGGTGAACTCAGCAACCCGCATCACTCACCAGGATATTTCCAACGATGGTGGCTATAATTATCGCTATCAACAGGGCAGAGATGACTATGCTCTCGATCCGATTGTATCCGGATTCCTGCGGATGATGGGTGGCGTTGGAGGTTTGGTTAAAGATGGCGGTATATTCCGTTGATGCGGTCGCCATACGAATGTCGTGTCGTTTCTCACGCCATCTCTGAATATGCATGAATATCCGCGATTTTATGCCAGCAGGGAGCAGACCGTCTCGGATGTATTATTCATGATCGGTTTGTGAGTTATCTTGGAAAGTTCGGCGCGCCCCATTAGGCGAAGCGTCGTCTGATTAAGCCAGGTGGTGTCGGCATCCATGTTGGTTAAGACCTGCAAAAAAAAATTCGAGATTAGTCCTGCAGTTATGGGATCTCTTTTGTGATGCAAGAAGTCTCGTATAAGATTGCAAACGCAACTGATGCTTATAATCCACTTATGGGGTAGTTTCTATTTCTGTCATGCCATACGTATTCAGTAATGATAATAATAATTCATCATTATTTCCTCAAAAGAATATTCTATAGTATAATATGCGGTGTAGATCTCGGCGTAGATGTAGATACCAGGTGGAATTTATAGCTAGGAAACTATTGTTACACTACACGGAAAAAAGGATTTGTTGCATCAAGAAATTATTTATGCTTGAGTTATTTTTGTTGGACTGAACAATTTTTTGTTGAATCAACCAGATACATGATTATTCCATGGAAGCAGCTTGTTCAAATCAAGAATGTAGTCTAATTGAATCAACAGTATAATATCAATTTCATCAACAAAATATATGGTTTCTTCAAAAACAAATTATGTCAATCCAAAAATAATGTCGATGTTGATTCAACTATAAACATTTCGTTGATTTGATCAAACAATGATCATTTTGATGAGAATATATCTTTGATACAATATACAGACAGTATTTATACAAGTTGTCTTATTTCGATGTATCAATGAACTCGTTTCGAACGGATCATTTGCTTGAATAGAGCAACGAAATATGTAATATCAATGAAATGTTTTGTTCATTCTACATCAACATAAATTTTCGCCTCTAGATGGCGATCATTTCGCATCGTCTATGCCTGCCTCGAGTTCATTATATACGTGAATCCTAATTCTTCGTGTTTGAAATATCAGCTGGATAAGTCGAACTAAGGATGATTAGCAATCCGAAATAGTTTTCCATCAGCTAAAGGGAAGTAAAAACTAAAGATATATGCTAGTAGTCGACTAGTTTCCTAGTTTTGTTTATTCTATTGATGTGAAATTTCAAAAATTCCCGAATATTGAATTTGGTTCAACAAAACAATTTGTCGAATGGATATATGTATAGTGTCTCTTGAATCAACAAAATACTTCATTGAATCAACCAAATATTTCTTTGAATCAACCAAATATTTCGTTGAATCAACTACATATTTGATTAAATCAATATCTTGTTATTTTGAATCAAACAAAATGTTTGTTTGAGTCAATTCAATATCTCTTCATAAACAATTCATGGATTTGCTTGATTGAAGAAGATCCAGAGTTCATGCAAGACATATTTACTTGATTCAAACTTCAAATTCGCTCTGAAACAAGATACAGATTTACTCATTTCAAGATTTTATTTTGTCGTGCATATATGACACTTTTATTTGCTCCATTCAATTAATTTTTGCTTGATTCAACAATTCCTTTTTTTCCGTGTATATAACATGTTTTTGAATGTATGCTGAATTGATATTCATCATACAGGACGTGGAGAGAAATTCTGAATTGAGAAAACTTATCAAGAATCTGCAATTGAGGTCTATAAAAATAACAAGTTTCCATCGTTAAAGTTTAAACCCCTTGATTGGGTGAAAGTATTGAAAAGGAATATACTCAGATATATTTATGAACACAAGAAAATGGATATATATATATAAAGAAATACGTTGAGAATTCGCATTCTCCACGTGATGAAAATATTGATTCTTTCTTGGTTTATTCAACAGAAAACAACTACTTTCCTGGCTATATTCCACGACGAACATTGAATTACATCTCTGATTCCATCGATCTATCAACACTTGGTGGTCTAGCAGGAATGATAACGAAGGTATAGGGTGTGAGAAATCGAGATTTTTCAACTTTAAGAATTTTTTTTTGTCAGATCGGTTTCCATGTCTCTGTCTCAACTCTTCACGGGTCGTCAAAAATCTTAATTCTGAATCACCCTGTATTCATTTCAATTAAATATTAATTGATAATAAATAAAACGAGGGGTAAGTACATGGGGCAATCCGGTGTACAACTTAGGGGTATTGCGGGGCAATGCGAGGCAGTGTGGGGCATTGGGAGGCAATGCGAGGCATTTTCAGGCACTGCAGGGTATTAATGGGCATTGCAAGGTATTGTGAGGCATTGTAAGGCAATGCGGGGTATTGAAACAGCACTGAAAGGGCAATGTGGAGCAATGTTTGGGCTTAATTTGTTGCGCGCGCATACGTTTCTGTTCGAGGTCACTATATCAGTTCTATGGTTGAGGTGATGCCTCCGCCTCCATTTTGATTGCGTCATTCAAGCGTTTCGAATCGCGTCATGCTGTCATCAACTCCGGCTACAGCCAGCTCTGGATTGGATTGGAATTGGATTTAACCGACTATTCGAGTAAAAACTACGATATAGATGAGAAAAGTCCATATGTGAAAGTCACTTTGGGAAATAATAATAATATTATTATAGAAATAAAATCATTATGCTGCCTTCTGAATGAAGGGTAGGGACGGATCAGTAACGATCGCTTACAGCGTTTCAATTCTAGATCCTAGATTTGTCAAAAAAAAAAGTCGAAAATACCTGCTGACATTTCAGAAACTAAGGAAAAGAAAACTGAATACATCGGAGATTCTTCAGAAGAAGAAAATGAACCAGATATAGTTTCAGGCGATTCCACAGATGTGGAGTCATTCTACTCTTTGGTAGAAGATCGAGAAGAAGATAGGATGATGAAAGAACTTGACGTTTTCCATCCTGAAATAGATCATTTCTATACAGTGGTATTCGATAATAACGTATCTGGGACTGGTATTGAAGAAGAACCAAGACAGATTTGGAATTAGGTTTTTAGAAAACATTCCAACAAGTGACCAGAAAAATCAGAAATTTAAAATTCTATACCAAAAGAACATATTTGTACGGACCACTTGTACTTGGGGATAATTCTCCATTTCTCCAGAAAAGAGCGGATAAATTCCCAATCTTTATTTGGAGTCGAAAACAAACTTTGAATTTCAAGAACATACTCAAGTTGACAAATGTGATATCCAGTGTGATATGCTTTAACAAAATATATATTCAGGTTCAAGCTGTTTTTGGTTCAAGAAAATCTTGACTTTGTTTTAGTTTTGAAAACCTTCACTATGTTTCAGTTTCAAGAAAGAATTCAGAGTTTGCGTTTTTTAAATAACTATAAACTTAAAAAAAAAATGATTTTTTGTCGAGATTTTAGAACCTACTGTTGCTTATATTATCTGGACTTATATGTCTAGTGTTCCTGTTACCAAACTATGATCACTGAATTATTGTGATACTGTTTCAAGAAGTTCCTTTAAGAATAACTACTTAGCTATCAAGTATATAGGAGAAGGATAAGTTGTTTTTGCGAAAAAGCGTTCATTGTTTATGTTTCTATGTTTGTTTTATGTTCGACTGCTTGTTATGTGTGGTTTCCCAATAAAAAATGTACAATTATTAATTATTTCTCGTCCCATCAATATAGTCTGTCTCTCTTCAACAAATGGAATGAAAAGAGATAGTTATATAGTGCACTAGGAGCATTGCTGGGCATTGGGGGGCATTGTTGGGCATTGCGGGGGCAATGTTGGGCATTGGAGGGCAATGTTGGACAATGCGGGGTATTGTTGAGTGAAAAATGGGCATTGCAGGGTAATTTCGGTGAATTGAGGCATTCATTACCCCCTGGCGTACAAAAAATGGCGGAATAAAATGTTGGGATAGGAACATGAAATTCGTTTTGACCAAGTATGAATAGTTTCGACAAAAAATTCCGAAAGTTGAAAAATCTAGATTTTTCAATTCCTATATCTCTGTAATTATCACTGCAAGACCCCAAGTGTTATATGAAGAATCTGAAAATGGAATAATAAACCGGGTCTTCCGTTTAAAAAATCAAAGTTGTTGCTACTTTTCAATATAACGTCGCAACGCTGAGAGTATTTCCACTTTCATGTACACACATTTCAGTAATTTTCTCACAAAAAAGTATGAAATGATTCTCATTCCCACAGAAGTTTTGAATATTTCCTTCCAGGTACGATGGAAACTTCCGAAATGAACATTCCTCATTCTAGAAAAGCATAATATCAACTACATATAAACATAATTTGCTATATTATACAGACTTGAAGAGATGTAGTTTTGTCTCAAGAATTGTTTGCAATACGAAGAGCGGAGAGAGATTGCTTCAGGGAAGCGTAATATAGTAGGTATACAATTTGTATTTTGAAGTACAAAGAACACGCGCTCCTATTCAACACAAAATTCTAACATTTATTCCACTGATTCATATTACTGATGGTGAATCGTCTGATATTTACCTGATATTCATAATATCTAAATGAATCCAAATCTATTCTGATCAGAAGTTTTATGGATTACACGGAGAAAAAAAAATGAGTGATGAAATTCCACTTAAACTCCACTCAATAATGTCTCTATTTCGGTCCACACCCGATTGAGTTGAGAATTCACTCTACTTTACTGAGTGAAATGGTGATTCAATGAGGTCTCAGAACTGTGTCAATGTGAATTGAGTGTTTATATGCCCTTTATTGAGTAATTTTATATAAAAAACGACTACTTTTCAACTTTTTCTTGACTATTTCAATGTATAATATTGAGTAAATATGATATATGAAGTTCATTAACAATCAGAGTAGATTCCAATGAAATTAGGTAATCACAATCACGATGACAATTTACTTCTGATGAGGAACAATGCAAGGAACAACACAATTTGAAATGATCAGTAGATAGTAAGTACATGGTATCGCCTCCGAGTCTATGGCTTCTCGCTGCAAACTCAGTCACATCAATCTGCAGACAAAAAAACGCCTATCAACAGCTGATTCATGAATTTTTTGTGAGTATGTTACCCAAATAGAGACAAATTCTCGAATAACGTTGTGA